CTATCGATCGCCGCTTAATATCGACCAAGAACAGCATCGCATTAACATTGCTAACGAGCTCATGGGTTTATGGTTATGATGTGGAAACCAATGCTCAGCCATCCCAGTGGAAGCTGCCGCACGAGGCAAGATCGAAAAAAGCGCGCCAAGTTAGGTCGAATGTGAAGGTTTTGCTTACAGTTTTCTTCGATTGCAGGGGCGTAGTGCATCATGAGTTCTTACCACATAATAGAACGGTCAATGAGGAATATTACCTGTAAGTTATGCGCAATTTGCATTACCCTACTCTTGTGAGATGTTGAAAATGAATTTATTACCTAAATTTGTAGGAATTTTATATTTCAGTAGAATGAATTAAAAAGTAGAAATTTTACGATTAAATCGGACCTCGTACAATAACTCCTTAATAATGGAACGTATTTACTGCTCATTCTTTCTATCCGAAAGCTGAATCCTTTGCAACAAACCTGTAAATGTTAAATGAATAAATTAATTATTGACAATATAAAAGATTTCACAATTCTCGAACGGTAACAACTAAATTTTACATTTTAACATATCTGTAGGTAGTGTTATAATTTTAAGTTCATGTTTGATTTTCTATATCAGTGCATCGACATTTAATTTCGATATTTTGCAAAATATTTTTTTCTTCAATTTTTGTAAACATTTAATATATTAACAAGTAGTAGATACATATGTAATTGTTTCATTTTCAAATTTGCGAAAATGTCGCGTTTTAGTTCAGAAACTCTCCGTAGAATGCTCGTCGATTGCGCCAGCAGTCTTTTAATCGGAATTGCTGAGATGATACATCATGTTATTCATAGTCTGTAAAGTGTATCATGCGCGAGCAGTATGGAAAATTTCCGCGGAAGCTTAGACAATTTTCTGCCGGTGGAAATTCCACAAAGTTATCAGTGTGTATCATTTCATTAGGATTAATGTGATTATGTGCCCCTTTAGTTTCATTAGGTGAGTGTTTAATTTTGATTAATTATTTATCTGACGAAACCCATTTAACTGTTAAATAATAGAGACAGAAAATTGTAGACAGTAGCATCACAAATAGTTTGAAAGTATTTTCATAATTATCGTTTGTAAATACGTTAATAGTTGTAGAAAAAGATTTGTATATTATAAAGCATGTGGATTTTCTATCTTCTACTCTCCGAATACTTACTCTGTCTACCCTTGAACGGTTTGAATGAAATGTTTGAAACATTTGATTTTGCCCGTTTTAAAATTAGGAACAATTAAAAATTTGTTTTAAAAATTAGAACGTCTTTATCCCAACTATATTTGCAATTTTCTTATTAGCATCTGAATGTCGCTTTAATTTGGCCAAATTAATACTTTCCCAACTGAGAACATAAAATTATAGCGCCTTAATGTATGTATTAACAGTTTATTTTAATAAGTGAATCACATATTATTAGTTTACTGTATTTGAATATTTCAGGGAAAGTATTATTAAAAAGAAATTATAAATTTTAATAATTTATAACTGTTTTCATTAAATATGTCTGTATAAACAATTCTAATTACTTAACTGGAAGTTCCGTCTACACATCTCTTCAACATAATAAGTATAGGGCATTCTGTGTAAAAGAAATATTATAATTTTGATTTTCGTACTTTAAAAAATGAATAAAAGTCATGCTGTTTGAAGTCATTTTCCGCATTTTAACGGTACTTAAGCCCGACTCGTTAGCTAGTCTAGCGGTAATACGGTCGCAGATCGTAGGTTGACTGCCTAGACGCTGAGTGAGGGTACCTATAGCAAAGCGTTATTAGGTGGAATAGGCCAAACGGGCGACTGTAAGTCCGGCGGTGTATTACCCCGTTGTAGCTTAT